TGACTGTCCCGCTTGACACTCACACTTTGTCCCTGACTGACTATGCTTGTGGTTCTCCTCCAGTTGATAGAGAAAAACAGCCCAGCGAAGGCGCCTTCTCCGAAAACAATGCTGAGAATGAGAGCAGCGGAGACAAGCCCCCCATCGATCCCAGTAAGTGTCTCCTCCCTCCGAACTGGCTGCCGCCTCCACGCTGGCCACCCGGATCTGCCAGCCCGCCAGCTTTCTCTGGAGCCCGCCTTGGCACACCTGGGAGCCTCCCGAGCAGAGGCCCGGAGCCAGAAGTTTGCAGTTTGGGATGCCTGGGCCGGAGGCCCCAAGCCCACAGCACAGCGCTTTGACAAGCGGCCCGCTGGGCTGGGGGGAGGAGGTGGCTGCTACCGAGCGAGGGGGCGGGGCGGGTGCTGCGGCCAGCGCCAAGACCGGCCACCCTCTCGCTGCTGCCCCGGATCAGGACCGAGATCCTTTGGGCCGTTCTTCGAAAGCAGCGTCCGTCACAGAGTCTTTTGTGACTAAATGATCCCCGAGCGGTGGCTGCCTGCCTGCGCCCGGACGCTGGGGAAGACGGCCGATTCCCTCCACTTCTTGTCGTCAGCCGGTGGCGGTGTAAATCCTGCCCAAGATGAGGCTGCAAGTTACCGGGCCATGAGGCCCCCAGACCAGATTATTCTAATAAACTGGAGAAGTGATCAACCGCCTTAGGGCTTCTAGGGGCCAAATATAGGCCTGCGCGCTCCCACGGCCTTCCAGGGTCAAACAAGGAGTGGGGAGAGCAGAAGGAAAGGTGGGGAAGGGAGGACACAGAGTTATTGCGAGGGAGCAGAGAATATTAATCTTGCCACGCGAATACAGGGCAGTATGGTTTCCCCCTGCCTGGCAAGAAGGAGATCCGTTGTCCAATTTCACTCATCACACAATGTTCTGAAAGTGGGTGGGGAGAGGAAAGAACAGGAGCACCGAGGAGAAGAAAGGAGGGCCTCCGAGGGGAGGGGAGCGGAGATTTTACTGCGCGCAATTGTAAGTGACCGTCCAGCTTCTGTCTGCCAGGGGTCCATTGTGTCCCAGGCTCTGCCGCCTTCCCTAACCAATTCAACAGCATCCTGCACGGTGGCCGGTGGCCGGAGGCCCCAGAAGATCCCCCAGCCCCCAGCCCAGGTGGTGGTGGGGGGTGTGCTTCTCCTTCTAAATCCCATTTCTCTCCCCCCCAACCCCTGCAGGCAACCCGGCTGCCAACTGGCTCCACGCTCGCTCCACGCGGAAGAAGCGCTGCCCCTATACTAAACATCAAACGCTGGAACTGGAGAAAGAGTTTCTGTTCAACATGTACCTCACCAGGGACCGCAGGTACGAGGTGGCCCGACTGCTCAACTTGACTGAAAGGCAGGTCAAGATCTGGTTCCAGAACCGCCGGATGAAAATGAAGAAAATCAACAAGGACCGAGCAAAAGACGAGTGATGCTACTTGAGTTCATTTCGGAAAGCAGATGGAAGGAGAGGGCAAGAGAAAGGACTGCCTGTCCCCTTCTCCCACCCCCATACTACCCAAGCCTCCAGCACCCCCCGCACAAAGCGGCCAAACTCCAGGCCTCATCTCTCCCCCTGGCAAACCTTTCTCAGGCTGGCTCCTTGGCCTGCCGCGTTCATGGAGGAGGTATTGTAAGCTTTCCATTTTCTGTTAAGACAAATAAATAAATAAATAAATAAATAAAAAGAAGAAGGGGGCATTAGCGCTGATGGCTGTGTGTACGCTACCTTGTATATATTTTATAAAATCTACCTGTTCCTGACTGAAAACAAACAAACAAACAAACAAAAAAAACAACTACCTTTTTATAATGCACAACTGTTGACTGCGGCGGGCTGTATAGATTTTAGTCTGTGTAGTTAATTTAATTTTCTCTTTGTTCGGCAGAGCGATCTGCCCGATACTTGAACACTGTGTTTTATTGTGGTAATTATGTTTTTGTGACTCAAACTTCTGTGCTGGGTGACACACCCGTTGTGATTGTGAAAGATAGAATTCAATTTGAACTCAGGTTGTTTATGATGGGGAGACAATTGCATAGAGTATAGCTCTGTAGTGGAATACGTCTTCTGTATAACTAGGCTGTTAGCCTTTGATTGTAAATTAGCTGTAAGGATTTCTCAGTGAAATAATTTTTTTTTTTAAAGAAGGGTTCTCTGGGGTGCATAGATTCATGGTTTTCTCCACTTTTGAAATCCAGGCATTTTCGTGTCTACATGCTCTATAGACCTGTCTGGTCTAGTGTATATAATCCACATATGAAAGAAAAAGCAATCAGACCAGCTTGAATACTGTGTTTGCACCAGACAAACAGGGAGGAAATTCGGAGCTATACGTATGTGCAGAAGGTGACTACCTATGGTTTATGTTTAATTTTAACTGGGGGAAAGTGATACTGTAATGGAGCTAATTTTATTGATAATAAATTATGCATTGTGAAACTGCCAGTGGGCTACGGTAGATTTGTATTCTTGACGAATCTGGGGTTTCCGTTGGGGGCTGAACATACACTGTATATTTTGCAATAGTTACCTCGAGGCCTACTGACCAAATTGTTGTGTTGAGATATTTAACTTTTTGCCAAATAAAATATATTGATTATTTTATTTTATTTTTGCGGGTCAGCTCTTTGCATCTTCTCCTGGGACAGGGGGGCCTTGATCGTCTCTGGGTGGGGCCCTGTGGGGTGGAAGAGGACAGAACCTCCATTTTGCTCTGCGGGGCTTTGGGGAGCTGGAACCTAAGGCAGAGCCACGGGCTGGCCTGAGGGCTCGCACGGCCGGCTGCTCAGCAGCCCGAACAGCGGAGTAAAGGAGGAAGGCGGAGGAAAGCCGGGGAAGACGGGGCGGCGAGGCCGGGTCCCCCACTTTGTGTCCATTTGCCAGAAGGCCAGGAGGTCTCTGAGGAGCTGGGCTGGCATCTGGGGTATCACTGGCCAGCACCACTCTTCCATCTTGGCGCCCCAAGAATTGCCCAAACGGAGACTGCAAGGACTTCCCTGGGAGGGTGGGGGGAGGCGTGGGGGCAGTGGGACCACGAGCTGAGGGCCTGCTTTCTAAAGAGTCTCCGAGGAGGGAAACGGGAGCCCGATCGCCCCAACAACGTGGCTTCGGGAACAGATGTTTGGGAGCTCGCAAGCTCTCCAGAGACGTAGGCCTGCGCCCCTGCACCCCCACCTCCTATTCGGCAGGAGGCCGGGGGTGCTGGGCTCTGATCCGCGCGCCCCTCCCCGAGCACAAGTCCTGGCAGAGGCAGGGCCCAGGCAAGCGAGGAGCCGGAGCGCCATAAAAGAAAATGAGGGCTGTTACTGTTTATGGGGTGTAAAGGGCTGCGGGGAACGGCACAGCCTCGGAGCCCGAGCGCCTTCTAGATGTGACCGGAGGGTTCGGCCTCATCTCCCCCTTTTCTTTTCTTGCTCCCGCCCCTCCCCTACATCCCCCCGCGACTTCTGCAAAGGTATCTGGATTCGGACACGTAAAAGGGGAA